TTGGAAAAAAACTGTCAGTTACAAAACAATATACATACAAATATTACCACAACTTACCTGGTATCCTATGGGCATTCCAGGACTGTACAACTCTGTCAAGTCCTATCTGACTCACTTGACAGGCCAGGGCGGACACACTAAATGTGTTAAGGTCATCCTAATCTAGCAGGTGGATTAGGGCCAGTTATTGACCTCTGGCAAACTCTTTTCACTTGCAGGTTCTGTTTAAACACAAGAAAACATTTTCGGAAAGTAAGCAAGGCAGCTTTATTTGTATAGTATTAATAATGTCCACAATTTGCTTTACACCAAGTAAAACATTAGTGTGATGCAAAAGAATAGAAAGCATTAAAAAGTAAAAGAAAAAAAACATGATTTAAAACTGAAAACCAAAGAGGGAATTTTACTAACCCTAGCCTTGGAGGTTGCAGTTTTGACCCCTAAATAGAAACTATGTCTTTACACGGACCCAATAACAGGAAATCAAGATTTTTATTTTTTTTTTGGTTAGGAAGTTGAGATTTGTTTCGTTTCTTCTGCGGACTGGGAGGTACTTAACTCAGCTCTGCACAAAAAGGTAAGGTCTGCAATATTCTCATGCTCCCTGAAGCGCGTATAAAGGAGGTAAGACTGAAACTACCATTATACTTAAATATTGTAATATATATATGTAATATATATATTTATATTATTTATGGTGGGATGCATAAGTACTGCATAATGATACCTTCACATCGCAAGCAGCAGGTGCAGCAAAAACGCGCGTGCTGCTTCTTGTTTTATGATTGCAAGTTTACTTTTGATGTGCGGCTCAAGGTTATTTTGTGTCAACACTATTTGTGCATTGTAAGTGTGAATTTGAAGTTGTAGAAGAGTTTAATTCCAAGTTTTGTATTTGTAGAATAAAAAATAAAAAAAATCTCAAGTACAAATTTTTATTTTAGACCTGTTCAAATTTTAGGTACAAGTACACAAATATATAGTATATATATATAGTATATGTAATATATTCTAGTATATGTAATGCATTCTAAATTGGACTTGAAATGGGAAACATTGCTTTTCAAGGAGCAAAAAAAAAAAAAATTATAATTTAAACATTAAATTGAAAAATCGTAAAACTTACAGACTTAAAATATATTACACATATAAGATTATTTTCGTTCTCGCAGGCAGCTTACAGTCAAAGTAAAAATATATATTTAAAATGCTTAAAACGACAATATTTTAGAATTTTAAATATGTATTTCTATTATTATTATTATTATTTTGTGATTATTGGCTCACCATCACACAGGATGTTGATGATTGGGTAATTAAAAATAACAATTATGGCTCATACCTTCCATAATCATCACCTTTAACTTTGAAGACTTTTAACATGAAAGCTTCGCTGATGAGCTGAGTGACAGCTGCGTCCTTCGAAAGTCGGCTGGGTCCTTGGAAGGCAACGTGACAGTAGGCTATATATGTATTTCGGGTTGGTACAGACTGACGGAGAAATAGCGCCTTCTGCTGTCTGATCAAGGGTACTACCCACAAGTCACGAATTATTTTTACCGGTGTGACCTTTGTGTCAAAAGTAAAAATGAAGGCGTAACTTGTTAAGTTGAATGTGTGACTCACAGCAGCAGATTTGTGCAGTTGTATTCATTTATTTGGAAAAAGAAATGTTTTTGAAGATTTTAATACACGTGTCTGAATTTGTTTTGCACCATTAGTTTTAGATCAACTGTAGCAAAACTGAATGGAAGACATTTTTGATGTACAATTCACACAGTTTCTGTACTTGTTCTCAAGAATTTAAAGAGGTTTGACTTTTTTTGTAATTGTGTCATATAAAAAAAAAATAAAAAAATTACAGTAATGCTACGTTCACACCGGACGCAGTAAGAGCAGCAAAATCGCGTCTGCTGCTTCATTTTTGCTGCTTGTACCAGTTAGTTCTGACGCGCGGCTGAAGCAGCTTTGCTGCTCTGGCTGCCCGGTGCAAAAGTGGGTCTGACACGCGTTGGGCTGAGCTTCACTATTCTTTCTTTGTCTTGCAGCTATATTTGCTGTGATCAGTGGGAATAAAGTAGTTTTAATATGTTTTAAAGTGAGAAAATCCACCTGAAAACTTCCTCAGTGCAGTCAGTTCATCCAGATTACAATCCTGCCTTCCAATACTATTTCTGTCGGAGACGCTCAGACCCCTACATACCAGCGGTGCGCTGTCAGTAGGATCCCATTCCACAGCAGCCTCTAGCCCGGTCGCCGCCTCGCAGTTCACCGCGGCAGCTGGTAGGTGTTTTTCATCTAAATAATCTAAACTGCAGGCACCAGGATAATAAAAGCCAACATATTCTGCCGGCAGATTTCTGCATTTTGAGTTAATTTAGGCGTTGATAAACTGTTTCAGAGGAGTGATCACAGCGCTCTGATCATCAGAGATGTGTCTCTCTCCCTGCCAGCTCCGAGATCAGCTTCTCTGATTGGTTGATGCGGCACGTCGAGTAGCAAAAGTTCAATTTTTCCATCTCAAGCAGCAGCGCGTTTGCGGTGCGTCACGCGCTGCGCCTGCTGCTCAAAACGCGCTGCGGGACCTTTTGCTGCGCCTATACGCGCGTCAACCATTGACTTTGCATGTAAACTCACTGCTTCTGTCACGCCTGCTGCGTCCGGTGTGAACGCAGCATCACATAACACCAAAGATACAATGCACAAATAATTTTATTTCACTGACAGAGGCGCCCAGACCCACATACTCCGGCGGTGCTCTGTCACTAGGAATCCCACTCAACAGCAGCCTCTGGCGCATTTGCCTCTTCGCAGTTTGCTGCTACTGTTCGCAGCGGCTGGAAGGCGTTTTTCATGAACGTAATCCAAACTACAGGCACCAGAAAAATAAAATCAAACATATTTTGCCGGCAGGTTTCAACATTTTAAGTTAATTTGGGTTTTGTTAAACTGTTTTAGAGGACTGATCATAGCGCTCTGCATCAGCAGTGCTGTGTCTGTCTCCCTGCCAGCTCCCAGATCAGCTTCTCTGATTGGTTGATGTGGTGTATCAAGTAGCAAAAGTTTAATTTTTCCAACTCCAGCAGCTGCTGCTTCTGAAGCGTGCCACACGTCAGATGCTAAGAAGCTCATGACGTGCTGCTTCAGCTGCTCAAAACACGCTGTGGGATGTTTTGCTGCGCCAAGATGCTGCTTCTGCTGCCAGCAGTGTGAACATGGCATAAACCGTTAATTTTAATGAAGCAGCAAATTTTGTAATGTACTATTACAAAATAATTGTGTCAGAAAATCTTAAATAGCTCTCATATTTTAATTGTTTTCAATCCTTCTGAATCCCTGTTTAATATATTTTTTATATTGTTGCTTGTGTGGAGTCAGTGTTTTAGATTAATCAAGATGGTCTGGCCAGTTCCTGTACAGGATCATAAAAAAAATAAATAAATAGCAGAGGTGTCAGGTAACAAAGTACACGTATTTTTTTACTGTACTTAAGTACACTTTTTAGGTATCTATATTTTACTCCATTACTTATTTTTCTTCCTACTTCTGACTTCTACTCATTACATTTTCACACAAGTATCTATATTTTCTATTCCTTACATTTTTAAAACCAAAATTACTCGTTAAAAGGCGAGAGACACAGGCGAGAGCGTATCGGGAGATGGAGACGGAGACCAAAAAGACCTCCCTCATCCTTGGCCCTATCTCAAAGAATTTTTCAAAATAATCGAAAAAAAATTTCCATATAGTGGCATCTGGCTGTTTTTTTTTTTAAGGTTACTTTATACTTTGATACTTTAAGTAGTATTTGGAGCACATACTTTTTCAATTTTACTTGAGTAAAAAGGTCACGTTGATACTTAAACTTTTACCAGAGTGTTTTTAAACTGCAGTATCTATACTTCTATTTAAGTAAGAAATGTGTGTACTTTTGACACCACTGATATAAATTAAGAACATTAACCCAGATTGGCAAGGTTAAATCAGGTGAAAATTTTAAGTACATATGCAGATCAGTAAATTAGAGAAATAAACTAAAAGTTAATTAATGTTAATGTCTTGATATCTAAATCAATTGGTATTAAGGCTATAAAAAAAATATATATATATTCTTACATTTAGACAAAAGACCATTCAGAAAGATTATTTTTTTTATGCTTCAGGGTTATGGAAAATGCCTAAACCATCATAGGTAGACTTGTGAATTAAGAAAAGGGCAGAATTAAACCATGATAATATAAAATGGAAAAGTTGAGAGAAAGGAAAGTGTGTTGTTAACAAAATCAGTGATAAGTTACTGGGACATTCACAAGATGTAGAGTCTGGCAGGATTCACAAAGGCTTATCTTGGACATATTTGCATACGGTAGTTAATGTGTATCTGATGTTGTCTCTTGTTCAGGAGTTGGTGATCACTATGATTTAAACAGTTGTAGCTCATATTTTACAGTTCTAACAGGGGTGTGTTTAATTCTTCTTGTCCACTACCACTTTTTTACTGCCCCAACATTTCTTATTGCTATGCATGAATACAACACAGAGTAAACAGCCAGTTTCTTTACTGGTTCCTCCTCCTAAGGAGCCCTCCATTGTCTGTCTGCTGGATAGCTTTCAATACAACCAGGATTGTTTAGATCAAAATTTTATATTTTTGTTTCTAAACTGGTTTTGGATAGTTCTATGTGAAATTCAAGTTCAGGTTTTGATTAGCTTTTACAAAGAGTAGTCAAAATTAACAGAAATAAATGTCTGGAATATATAACTTTGTGTGTTATGAATCTATATAACATAAAGGTAACTGAGTTCCTTGAAAACATTTTACTGTGCTGGTAATTATTGAAATACTTAGTTTGTAGCATATTATTCCAGGCTTAATCAGACTTTAGACTAGCTATTGGTTTTGATATATACCGTTATTTATTGTAAACAATGGTTTCAAAGGAAGGTTAACCATTTTTCAAAAACCCTTAAATCTGTTTTCTTTTATTCTTTTCAGTCTGAACTTGAATTTCAGCTTTACATTAAGATCAGCAGCTCAGATGTCTACTCTGAAGTCAGAGCTCTCCAGGGACCAGCAGAGAACCATCTGCTCTCAGCTGGGAAGTGTCAAACTGAAGCTTCTCTACAAGGCCACCGTCCACGGCTTTACTGGTGCCGCCTTCCACCAGCGATGTGACAACCAGTCACCCACTGTGTCTGTGGGCTACAACGCTTCTGGTTATGTGTTTGGAGGCTACACCAGCCAGCCTTTTAGTCAGTCTGGACAGTATGTGAATGATGACCAGGCTTTTCTTTTTGGTTTTACTGGTGGAAAACTCCACAAATATCCAGTTACCAGTGCTCCTCATGCCGTCAAAATGATCGGCAACTCTGGTCCTTATTTTGGGGATTCCCTAGCTCTTGTGAACGGAAGCAAACCAGTGATATACAGCAACACAGGAGCTCAGTACAACTTCAATGCTGCAGAAATGCATGGAAATGACCTGAACCTGACTGAATGTGAAGTTTACCAAGTGGAGGGTGAGTTATCAGCCTTTCATTTTCATTGAAATTTAAAAACAACAATTGTAATACATTATCATTAATACACCAGTTACACATTTCTAAACTAGGTTAAATGTTCTTTCATCCTTCTCCTTAGCATACACATAAATATATTTCAAATATGACTTTTCATTACATTGACACTGTCTTCTAGACAAGGTTTCTTATAAAATAAAAGCTATAGTGGGTAAAGTTCAATTATCAAACAATCCTTTGTTTAACAGAATCTACTGAACTTGAGAAGCCATGGAGGACTATCATCTGGGAATCTGGGTAGGTTCAAAAGTATTTGCATCCCTTGAACTTTTTCCAAATTGTGTCAACTTATAATCTTTACATTACTGTAAAAATTAGTTTAGTTTAGATTTTACAAAATTTTTATTTGATTTCAAAAGCAAATGTCTGGTATATACAGCACAGACCAAAAGTTTGGACACACCTTCTCATTTAAAGAGTTTTCTTTATTTTCATGATTATGTGTGGGGATATTCGTCATCCCTGCGCAGCAGCACTTGCGTTTTACTTAGGATAAACAGTGAAAAACTTTATAATCTAGCTTAGCATGAGAGAAACACTGGACAACATCTTCTCCGTTGGCTGGCACTCCTTAACTCCACCGGAGTCAGCCATTTATTCAGACACACAGAAAGAACATGGTGGGTGTGTGCGCGAGCACTGACGTCATCACGCCACACAGTATAAATGTCTTTGCCCAAACAACAAATATATGCTTAACACTCCCACTCAAAGAAATGTTTACAGCTCTCTCTACATATGGTAGGAAACAAAAACACATCACTAATTTGGTACTATACACAGTTACGGTATAACCCATTAAAAAAACCAAAAAAACATTTCACATACTGGCAGTTCTAAAAACCTAAAACTAAATTTATCCTTCACTTCACTTCTTTGTAACATTCATTTCAAATGCCAGCTTACATTACCCCCCGAACAAATAACACATTAATTTCTCAAATTTTACCTTTGATTTTGGTAAGTACATCAGCTACCATGTCTGCAGTAGGACAGAAAAAACATACATTTTCCCCTGATTTTATATCCACATGCTTGCTTCTCTGCCTGCATACTGGGTTCTTCGATAACACTATTGCTCCCTGGTTAGCCTCATAGAATTTGACTGGTAAATGCTGATTATTACCATCCATCGTTTTCAGTAGTTGAACAAGGTACATGCTCTCCTGAGTAGCGGCTGCTTGAGCCATGTACTCTGCTTCACAGCTAGATAGCGCCACTGTTGGCTGCTTCCTGCTCTTCCATGAGATTACTGCAACTGTCTCAGTTAAGCTGAAACAATATCCAGTGGCGCTTCTCCTGTCATTTTTGTCAGCTGCCCAATCAGTGTCACTCTACCCCCCAAGCTGTAAGCTTTTCTCACATTTTTGGTAGTGTAATTCCTGATCCATAGTATCCTTTAAGTACCTCAGTACATGTTTTGCAGCAGTCCAGTGCTGATGCTTTGGTTCTGCCAAGTATTTTGAGTCGGGTCTGGTACATTTCATGATGTATATCAAGTTACCCGCTATCTCTCTGTAACATGTTGGATCAATTAAATCACCATCACTGTCAAAATGTAACTTCTGCTCAGATTGTGTAGGTCTAGATTTGCCTTCAGACATCCCAAATCTAGCCAACTATTTCTCAATGTGTCTCCTTTGTGTCATTCTGATTTCTTCATCAATGCAGTTAAAATCAATACCTAGGAAGAGTTTAAGTGGACCAAAATCCTTCATCTTAAACCTTCATCTTAAAATTTTCAATGACTCAAGACAGCACTTCTCTGGAAGATTCATTTTGGAAAATGTAAAGGAAATTAAGTTTATAAACATATTCAATGGACCAAAATAAGGATAAATGAATAACATAAGTAATAATAAAATAAGAACATCCCTGTGGTTCCTCTTTTTATCAATCCTGCATAACTAATTAGTCCTAAATTCCAACGGGAGATTATTAAACTAGACTGAGCAATAATTATTTTACTGGGACTAAATCAGGAAGATAATCTAGAGCAAACAAGGAGTTAAGCTTACTAAAAAAGCACTAGGTATAGAGAAAACAAACCATTTGATGTGTTCCTACGGTCAGTCTCCACATTGATAATATAAGCAAGCTGCTGTATATTTTATTCATATTTACTCAAGTACTAAATTGCTTAAAACTTTAATTAACATTAATTCACAAAGTGAATTATCTTCGTCCAGATAATATAAGGATAAGATTTAAAAAAAATCCAATGATACCTCGTAATAATAATCGCTGAGAAATCCTGGTCTTATTTATTATCTGGCACAAGTCCTTCAACTCAGCTGCTAGCATGTGGGCTGGTGCAAAAATACGGACTGGGAATTAACCTGGCATGTTTTTTTAGCACTAAGGTTGTGTTGCAAATGTGGACTGTATTTTTATCAGCATGGTATTTTTATATATAAATAAGTGGAATGGAGTTGAGACTTAATGTCCGTCATTATTTAGTGTGAACAATTGGGGATATAGAGCAAGAGTGTGTAAAGGCACTGAGATGTGTGAGTCTCAGAAACAATGGGTGAGAGTTGACAGCCCTGGAACTCTCTGCATTGAACCCATCTCCTTGGGGAGCAGTGGGCTGCCATTGTGGGGCACCCACATGATCAGGGACCCAGAGTGGCAGTCTGCGGGAGTGGGGCTTGAACTCAGAACCTCAAGATTCCAAGCTCTATGCACTAACCACTGTGCCCTAGGAGAACACCAGGCCAGGTGTAGTTTCTACAGTCTGAAGAGGGGAGAAAAAAAAAAGAAAACATAAATGCAAATAATGCAAAGTTGGAGTGTGGTGAAATTAGACAGACGTTGTATTTTCTGGTATACAAACATGCAGTAAAAATACAAATCAGTGTAGGGTTGTGAGGGAACTGGTTCTATCTCGATGGATCATTTGGTGAGAGCCAGGATATACTCTGAGCAGGTCGCTGATGTTAAGTGGCTTAAGCATCTCAGTTATTTGATGTTTCTCTACAGGAATAAAAAGAAGTTGATGGAGAGCATCCAAACCTACAAGCCCACAGTCAGTTATGTGTCCCAGGCTCGAGTTTTACTCATTGGACCAGTTGGAGCTGGAAAGTCCAGCTTCTTCAACTCCATCAACTCTGTATTTAGAGGTCATGTCACCAGCCAGGCCATCTCTGGTTGTTCCTCCACCAGTCTCACCACTCAGGTGTGTCTCTACTGCTCATTCATGCAGCTTCTAGTGTCTCATTTAAATTAAATCCTTCCAGTTGGGTTTTTCTAGGTCTAATTTTTCACCTTTCAGTTCCGAACCTACTCTCTGAAAGCAGGACGAGAAGGCAAACCTCTGCCAATTGTCCTGTGTGATACCATGGGCCTGGAAGACAGCAAAGAAGCGGGGATTGATATTGATGACATCGGCAGCATTTTTAAAGGACATATGCCGGATCGTTACCAGGTGTGGTATTGATTATATGTAGTTAGTGGAGATAACTAGTGTAACATGAAATAGATTAAAGATATTCTTTATTTACACCGACACAGTTCAATCCTGCTGCTCCTCTGCCTGATGACGCTCACGGCTATCGCAAGTCTCCAGGCATCAAAGACAAGATCCACTGTGTGGCCTATGTCATTGATGCCTGCAAGGTTTCCATTATGCCCACAAAGTTGGAGGAGAAGCTGGAAGCCATCCGCAAAAAGGCTAACCTGTTGGGTCAGTACGATTTATAACTGAAATATTTTTGAATAAAGTTTAAACTCAGATTGTTTACAGCATGTTGTGAATAATCTAATCTTTCTTGGTTGTAGGCATTCCTCAGCTGGTTCTGCTCACTAAAGTAGATGAAGCTTGTCCTTTGGTAAAAGAGGATCTGAGAAACATCTATAGGAGTGGATACATCAAGGAAATAGTGAGGATTCTTGTACTTATACAGAAATAATTCAGTCCTGATTATAAATTTGATGAAACTCTTCTGAATCCCCGTTTGAACCCCTCTGTGATCCAGATGCTGGAGGTCAGTGCTAAGGTGGGTGTACCTCTGTCCTGCATTGTTCCAGTGAAGAGCTACAGCGAGGAGTTGGAGCTGGACTTGAATTGTGACATCCTGCTGCTTAGCGCCGTCATCCAGATGCTTCGCTTTGTTGATAACTACTTTGATGAGCTTAGTGACCAACTGAGCAGTGTTGAGTTAAAAAACTTAAGATCTGTATAAAGAAAACCTCTGAAACAATTGAAAGAAGAAAACTATAATGGCAACAAAAAAGAAAGGCGGTCAGTACTTTTTCAATGTATGGAGTCTGAATAAAGGATCATATTGTTCTTCATGATAATATATTGTCAACTTGGTGTCTTAAAGTATAACTGATAAATCAAGGTAAAAAAATAAATAAAACTAGCTTGGCATGAAACACTAAGAATAAAAAGCACTGACTGACAATCAATTGCACCTGCTGTTGTGCAAATGGAATAGAAAACAGGTTGAAATTATTGGCAGTAAGACAGAGACACTCAATAAAGGAGTGGTTCCGCAGGTGGGGACCACAAACCACTTTTCAGTACCTACGCCTGCTGGCTGATATTTTGGTCACTGTTAAATGTTGGTTGTGTTTTCACACTTGTGGTAGCATGAGACAGGCTCTACAACCCACACAAGTGGCTCAGGTAGTGTAGCTCATCCAGGAGGGCTGATCAATGCGAGCTGTGGCAAGAAGGTTTTTCTGTGTCTGTCAGCATAATGTCCAGGGGCTGGAGGCACTACCAGGAGACAGGCCAGTATACTGGGAGATTTTGAGGAGAACAGAGGAGGGCAACAACACAGAGGCCTACAATATGACCTCCAGCAGGCCACAAATGTGCATGTGTCTGCACAAATGGGAGACTGACTCCATGAGGATGGTATGAGGGCCTGATTTCCACAGATGGGTGTTTTGCTCACAGCCCAACATCATGGATGTGATCTGCTGCCTGCAACATCCTTCAGCATGAACGGTTTGGCAGTGGTTCAATAATTATGTGGGGTAGCATTTCTTTGGAGGGCTGCACAGCCTTCCATATGTACGCCATAGGTAGCATGACTCCCATTAGGTACCGAGGTTAGATCCTCAGACCTCTTGTGAGACCATATGTTGGTGCGGTTGGTCCTGGGTTTCTCCTACAGTAACCCAGGACAATGCTAGACCTCATTTGGCTGGAGTGTGTCAGCAGTTCCTGTAAGATGATCCTTGAAACTAAGAACTGGCCCATCTGTTCCCCATGCCTGAATCCGATTGAGCACATGTGGGACATCATGTCTGGATCCATCCACTAATGTCAGGTTGTACCACAGCCTGTCCAGGAATTGGTGGGTGCTTTATTCCAGGTCTTAGAGGATTGATGATTTTTGAGTGATTTTGTTGTCAGAACATTCAACTTTGTTCATCCATCCATCTTCTTCTGCTTATCCGGGGTCAGGTCGCGGGGGTAGCAGCTTCAGTAGGGAGGCCCAGAAGTCCCTCTCCCCAGCCACTTGGGACAGCTCCTCCCGGGGAATCCCAAGGCGCTCCCAGGCCAGCCGAGAAACATAATCCCTCAGGCGTGTCCTGGGTCTCCCCCTGGGCCTCCTCCCGGTGGGACGTGCCTGGAACACCTCACCAGGGAGATTCCCGAGCCACCGCAACTGGCTCCTCTCGATGTGGAAGAGCAGCAGCTCTACTCTGAATCCTCCCCGGATGACTGAGCTCCTCACCCTATCATTATTTCTACGGAGAAAACTCATTTCGCTTGTATCCGGGACCTCATTCTTTCGGTCATGACCCAAAGCTCATGACCATAGATGAGGGTAGGGACGTAGATCGACCAGTAAATTGAGAGCTTTGCTTTTTTGCTGAGCTCTCTCTTCACCACAACAGACCGGTACAGCGCACTCCTCACAGCAGACGCCGCACCAATCTGCCTATCGATCTCCCGCTCCATCTTTCCCTCATTCATGAGCAAGACCCCCAGAAACTTAAACTCCTCTACTAGGGGCAGTACATCCTCCCCAACCTGGAGAAGGCACTCTACCCTTTTGTGGCTCAAGACCTTGGTCTCGGATTTGGAGGCACTGATCCTCATCCTGGCCACTTAACACTTGGCTGCAAACCGCTCCAGTGAGAGCTGTACATCATGCCCCGATGAAGCCAACAGAACCACATAATCTGCAAATAACAGAGATGCAATCCTTAAGCCACCAAAACAGATCCCCTCAACACCTTGGCTGCGCCTAGAAATTCTGTCCATAAAGGTTATGAACAGAATCGGTGACAAAGGGCAACCTTGGCAGAGTCCAACCCTCACCGGAAACGAGTCCAACTTACTGCCCACAATGCGGACCAGGCTCTGACACTGGTCATACAGAGACCAACACATATATATATGTATATATATATATATATATATATATATATATATATATATATATATAT